GGTTGAGCTCGGTTTCCGAGGTAGCGCCCTCGGACACGTGGGCTCCCGCTGCTCCGCATGTGCGCACGGCCGGCGGCGCCAGCTTGATGCACCGAATCCCTTGATTTTGTCTTTTTGCAACGGTATATGTGCAGCCTCCGCAGGCAGAGGGGATTCATGGTGTGAGGTCAACCCCCGCTCATGCGGTCTTGTCTGACTGCCGCACCTTTGTGGCGTTCACATGTGCCGCAGCAGCCACCAGAAGTACCAGGACCGCAATCAGGGCGGAGGTGGAGCGGACCTGCATGCTGGTAAGGATCGATGCAGACCGACAGGAGAGGGCGATCGGTTTTATGAGTGATCGACGGATCGCCGTCGGGGCTGTGTAGAAGGCACGTGATGTGAGCCGTTTGGGCTCAAGATAGTATTGCAACAAGTACGAAGGAGAGTGTACCACAAGAAGAATGCCCACGGTCAATGGTGGACGGGTGACGCGGTGAGGGGGCGCTGACACCCAGTGACGCTTCCCGCACCTGCTGCCCCAGGTCTGGCACAAAGTCTTCAGGGCACGCTCCTCAAGATGGTACCATGATTTTCAGTTCCCGTGGTTACGCGAGCGCCAGCCCGCGCGGCCGTAGGCGCACGATCGGCGCCGGCCGCGCGCCGTCTGCCGCGCGGTAGTCGTCCCTCAGGGCCCCTATCGCCTCGGCCGCCTCGTCAAAGCCGGCCCGCTCCATGTACTCCTCATAGTGGTGCAGGAACAGCCTGTCCAGGGTTGCAAATTTTGCCATGCATTGTGACGTGAGTGCGTGTCGTCAGAAAGAGGACGTGTGGGTTGCCGGGCGGATCAGCAGCACTGCTTGGCACTGACGGCGGGGCGGCAGGGCGCTGTGCCGCTCGGCACCTCCCTGCCACGCTGGCAGCCAGACCGGGGCCCCCGTGCGGCGCCTACAAAGCCCGCGGAGTGTGCGCACGCCATCAGGTTGACCTTCGGCGGTAGAGCTTGTCGAAGCGCTTCTGCAGCGCCCCCAGGGTGTCGGTGATGCAGCAGTTGTTGGACAGGGCCAGCAGGGAGTAGGGCAGGCCCACGCGCGGCTGGCTGCAGAGGCCAATCTTGAAACCCTAGCAATGTGCGGCACGGCCGTTCCAGGTGGCATAGAATGCGGGAAAGCGTGAGTGCTGCCTTGGTTGCTGCAGCATCTTTTGTTGAGGTCCTCGTTGGCTGGATGCGAGGCGTTCAAGAAGATACCGTCCCACGCCCCAACCAAGCCTCCCAGCATGCCACCGCCCTAGGTTCTAGGGCTGAGGTAAGCTGCTGGCTGCGTTACGCCTCCCACCCGCCCACCCCCCCCCAAAGGCTCCAATGCAGCGTGCCGGCCCGCGCACCTCCTCATTCCAGTGCGCCAGCCGCAGGCCGCCCCGCAGCCGCGCCACGTTGCGCTGCACGTCCCCAATGCCGGCAGCGCCGCGCAGCATGAGGGCGGTGGCCAGGAAGGTGTGCTGGCGAGGCTCTGCCCAGATCAGCTGGTGGTCGCGGCTGAACGCGTCGCTGAAGAGCTGTGGGGGCGCGTGGATGTGCGTGTTTGTGTGTGTGTGTGGGTGTGTGTGTATGTGTTGGTGGGGGAAGGAGGGGTGTTTAAGTTGGGGTGCATGTGCGTGCGTGTGTGTGTGTGTGCGCACGCACGCGTGCGTGCCTGTGTGTGGGCGCGACCCAGGAACATGGGGCCGCAGGTGGTACCATTGCAAGCCGAGCACTGAAAGCCCCCCCATTAGCAGCTCCCAGCCAGGGCCGTCCACCCGACCTGGTCCATGCTCCGCGGCGCCGCCATGCGCCCCACGTCGCGCTGCGCTGCGAGCGGCGCGAGGCCCGACAGCAGGAAGTGCATCCTGGGGAAGGGCACCAGGTTCATGGTGATGTCATTCAGGTCCACATTGAGGGACCCCTCGAACCGCACCCCCGCGGTGAGGTCCAGCAGCATCCCCGCCGCCACGCCGTTCATGGCGTCCCACGGCTTGTTGCCGCTGCCGCCGCCGCCGCCGCCGTCCTCCCCCGCGCCGCGCGCCGCCGAGGCCGGCGTGCCCGCGGCCGCGCCGGCGGAGCGCTCCAGGCGGCCGCAGGCGTCCAGGAGGGCCTGGTTTTCGACGGGGATGACGCAGTCCGCGTTGAGCAGCAGTTGGTGGGCCGCGAGCAGCGCATTGTATGGGGCTGTGACGACATGGTCGTCCTCGGAGGGGAAGACCGGGGCGCTGAAGCGGAAGACGCTGGGGTAGTCGTCCTGCGGTGATGGTGAGTCAGAGGGGAGGTGGTGGGTTGAGTGGTTGGGTTGAGGCGACGCGGCAGGGGCTAGGGGATCGGGGCACGTGAATGCAGGCTGCTTTCAACTGCTTCCTGGGGCAACGGCGGGCAGGCGGTCCGCAACCATGCGAAAGAGATACAGGAGGACTTCAAGCAGCAGTGCAGATGACCCAAGCCGGGCCGACCTGTAGCATCCCGAGGATGTACGTCCCCAGGCCGCTGCCGGTGCCTCCCCCCAGGGAGTGCAGCAGGAGGAAGCTCTGCAGGCTGTCGCAGCCCTCTGCTGCGCGGCGCAGCTGCTCCCGCAGGGCGTCCCTAGGTGTCAAATCGGGAGAGGTGAGATATTGGAGTAGGGCCACGTGAAGTGGCGGGGTTGGTTGGGGACAGGGCTGTGGGAATTTATACTCGTTTGTGTGGCATGGTAGTGGCGCATGTAAGGAGGGCTGTGGCGCTGACCTGCAGCAGCCAGCCATCAGGGCTGCGCGAGGTCAAGCCCAATTGTTACTGTGAAGAACACTGTCAGGCATTGTCGGCAGCTGTCAAGGTCGGCCAGCTGGCCGGCCTCGCCCAGTGCCACCCACCCCCCCCCCCCAAAACACACACATGCACGCGCTTTGAGATACACATACGCTCACATTCCCTCCCACTTACACATGCATACGCATACCCATCTCCTCCCAATTGCATTCACACACCTGTAGCGCGGGCCGTAGCCGTGGTGGCCGTGCGCCCAGTTGTTCCCGGCTCCGCTGACGTCATACAGCAGCTGGGTCTGGTCCAGCACCTCCGAGAGGGGGCCCTGAGGGCAGGGCGCGGTCGGGATTCGGTGTCGCCCACGGGGCACAGGCGGCCACCGTTACGCGTTAGCAGGGGCGGCAGGGTGCGCACCGCAGTCGTGCTCGGCGGCCGTGAACACGCTTGCCCTGCCGGCCTGTGGTGCAAACCCGCAGCGCCTACCGCGGCTGCTGGCGGTTATGTTCGGCGCCGCCCTCAATCTAGCTCTCGCCCTCCCCGCCCGCCGAGCCTCCTGGCCCCCCCCCCACCTTGAGCATCTTGTTGATCACCCCCTCCTCCATATCAACAACCACACTGCGCGCCTGGCAGAGGGCCGAACGGGTGGCCCCGCAACGGCAGGTGTCAACGAGCATTCAGCAGGGGCCAGGGCGATTGGAGGTGCGAAAGGACTGGCGGTCAGCGCGCCGTGTCGGCAGGCGTCGCCGGCTCTCCTACCTTGAGGCACTGGATACGATGGCTGCCGCCAGCGCCAACCGGCAGGTTTCTGCGGGGAGGCAACCGCGCAAGAAGGCGTGAGCGCCAGGTCAACCATAGAGGGCGTGGGTTGTTGTGCAACATCTCGTGGACGGCACGGCCGCGCCGGGTCAGCAGGGTTTCACACGCGCTTGTGTGCTGGCCCCCCCCCTCTGCACTCACAATGGGGGCTCGAAACGCGTGTCCACGTTCCGGAAGAAGCTGTGTGGGCGCAGGGGTCGGAAGTCGGAGTTGGTTGGATAACTCGAACGCCGGCGTTGGCAAGAAGTGCCAATGTCTGCCATGCAAGCAAAATACACATGCACTCCTTACTGGATGGGATGCCTTGCGACACACACACACACACACACACACACACACACACACACACGACACGAAGAGGCGGACGGCCGCAACAGCAGCGGCCGCCGCTTGCTGGAGCCTTGCCCCTTACGCGCAGTCGCAGCACGGGACGCATGGCGGTGCCAACCGCACGCTCCCACAGAGCCACGTGCCTGCTGAGGGAGGCGTCGTATACGCCCCGCGGGTTGTAGGCCGCGTGCTCGCGCAGCGCCATCTCCCAGAAGCGGCAGCCGATCTGATTGCCGCATTGGCCGACCTGAATGGTCACGATCTCACGCGGCATGCTGATGATGTGCTGCTACGGCCGCCGATGATGATGGGTTGCCGGCCTTGAGGGCTGCGTCGGCGGACCCGGCCGTGTACAAAGGGCTGAACGGTCGACAACCATACAGCACTGCTACAGTATGCTGCTGAGCAGCACACGTCCCGCCGCCGCCCGGCCGCCACCGCCTGCTACCTTGCTGAATTGATGTCTGGTGGTTGCAACCTATCTGTGTGCTGTCGTGTCCGAAGTTATTCATACATCCTTTGCTTCACGGTCAGGCACGGGACACTCCCTGACAACCATCTCACTGATCCTATAAAACAAATACATGAAACTAACGCACTCGACTTTCATGTGGTGGTATGCTATGCTTGTAAAACCAACTCATTTCCATCTGTCTTCTGATCTGATGCCATTGAATGATTGAACATCTGACGCCAATCAGCAGTCTCAGCAAGGACGGAGTGAACTGGAGCCAAAATCAATATCTAAACGGTCACAATTATCCCCAGCGCGGGCTCATATGCAGCGTGCGCTGTGGCGGCGGCGAGATGCAGCAGGGGCGGTGGTGCCGCACTTCCGTCGCGATGCGCCCCGCCATGCGAGACCTGGAGCTCGCGCCGCCAGCTCGCAATCAGTAAACAGCAGCAGCGATGTGCATGCCAGCCCCAATGAGGGCTCGCCCGGTGTGAAAGGCAGCGCAGGCGCCGCACCCGCTTTCCCCCGCACTCCGCAAGCGCCCCGCGCAGCGGCGCCAACCGTGCCGTTTGAGGCGGCGGCTGCGGCCGTGCTGGAGGGCCGCAGCTTCATGTGCACCATGTGCGGCAAGTGCTGCACCATGGAGGACGACGGGGAGGTGGGGGCCGGGGCTGGGCGGGGCTGTCGGGGCTTTTGACTAGGGATCAGCCTCCCCTGCAGCAACCACTTTCGGCCGCGCACAGTTCAGCCACTTACCTGGGCCCAGAGGCCCTATCACACACGTGCATTCATGGTAGATACCTGTGTGTTGGCAGAGCCACCGATAGCCACTGCGGCGCCGTGGCGCCTCATGGTGGGAGACCCGAAAAGGCCATTCGGGGTGGGCGGCCAATCCGATGCCTCGCAGGTCTGGGTATCGCGGCAGGAGGCGCGCAGCATCGCGCAACACCTCGGCATGTCAGGTGCGTCAGAAGGCGCCGGGAGGATCCTGAGTCACTTCTAAAATCGCCGCCGCTAGGAGCGCAGTGGTGACAAAACGCCGTGTGCATGCGCATCGGCATGCGCTCGGCTGCCTTGCTGGCCCATCCCCATCAGCAGACCTATGCCCTGCACTCTCAACCAGGTCTGCCCACATCTCCTGGCCCTCTCGCAACTCACCCTGACCGGACACTGAGCGCATTCCACCCTCCCACTTGCTGCAGAGGCTGCCTTGTTGGCTGAGCACTGCCTGGAGCGCGACAGCGACGGCCTGGCTGCACCACCCGGCTGGTGGCTGCTGCAGTCGCGGCGCTCGCCGGACGGCAAGGTGTGTGCACGCGCGCATGCGTGCACATGCGAACGTGTGCGTGCGTGTGCGCTCAGCATGCAACTGTGCCAGCAGAGCCCGTGTGGCGCGACTCATCCATCTATGTGTGCCAGTTTTGCGTTGATCGTGGTCCACAGCGGCCTGCCTGCCCGGCGTAATAGTATCCTCGGCCGCCTCGCTCCCATCCACAGTCCCTTTCCCTGCAGCCTGCCCATGCACTCACCCCACCGGCCCGCCCCCCCCCCCCCCCCCGGGCCCCACATCCGCAGCTGCACTGCACCTTCCTGGACAGCGAGACCAAAATGTGCCGCGTCCACGAGGCGCGCCCCGTCCAGGTGCCAAACAGCAGTGCCGCCAGCACCCAGATCTTGCTCAGCAGCTGCCGAGGCGCACGCCTGCACGCGCAATGCCGCGTGGCAGGCCTTTGAGACGGCCCCACCCCTCACCTCCGCCGCGCCCGCGGCGTTCCTGCACCCCCTCGCGGCCGCAGTGCAGCACGTACCCCTGGTGGCCAGACCTCCTGGCGCAGCCCGGCGTCTGGGACTGGGAGAAACGTGAGCGGGGGGCAGCAGGCAGAGGGGCGTCGCGCACGCCTCGTTGCGCCCCCCATCAAACCCTCGCGTGCATCAGCACAACCTTGCAGCTAAGAGTCGCAGCTGTGTGGCGGCGTCTCGTCCCCTACCGATTGGCAAGACCGCGCTGTTCTTGTCACCAGTGTCCCGGATCCCCACGCTACCGTACTTGTCCCCCCAGCCCACCTGCGCCTTCTTTGTTGCCCAGCCCCACCTGTCACTACCACCCCACCCCAACACAGAACACATTTGCGAGGGCCTGGACCATGCGGATGCGGGGCCCTTGGACAAAGAGGCAGCTACCCAGCAGCTGCGGCGCGCGGTGACGCACGAGCTGGCCAAGAGGCGGGCGAGGGAGGAGGGCGCCGCTGCAGGGGCCCGCAGCGGCGGCGGCGGCGGCGGCGGCGGCAGCTGAGGGGAGGCTGCGGACGGCACTGCGGCGCTAGGCTCGTCACTGTTGGCCGCGTTGTTTTTGTGACATTGATAGACGAGGGTACATTTCTTCGTCTGTAGGTTGCAGAATCTCCTGTCCACGTCGCACGCGCTGCTTCCTGCTGCTCGTAAGTGGGTGCTGCGCTGAGAAATCGCCTGGGATGCAGCAAGGGGTCATCAATGCTCTAAAAACGGGGCGTCCTGCTGGCGTGCGTCGCCAAGCCGTTTCCGCGCTGCCCTGCGCTGAGGCGGGCCATCATTGGGATCTCTTAGTGTTCAGCGACGCGCACGGCAGGGGCCACCCCAGGAACCAGTGAGTAGGCCGCCAAGGATCCCCTCAAGGCAGGTCCAAGGGGAGCCTTGTGACCCAAGCACCCGGTTACGCTGGACGATCCGGCCATGGCTCTGGCGCCAGCCCACTTCCGCGGCCCCGCAGCAGCAGGGCGCCGCAGCTGCAGCATTAGTGGATCCGCGTGCGCAGCCGGTCGCCTTGCCCGCTCCTCCTGCCCCCTTGCATCTGCCATGCTTTGATGCCAAGTGGCTGTCCGGCCCCCGGGTCATTCTGGGACTGGCCCAGGCAGACGGCCCTCGTCAGCCTGCCCAGCAGCCAGTATGGTAACAACAATGAAGAAACAAAGCTCAATGTTCAGGGGGCCAAGTAGCACTCGGGGCCGCCCTCCGCCCCGCACTCTTCCAACAGCAGCGGCCCGTCCTCGTGAAGGGACCCCTCCGCCGCAGCGCCCGCCGCCGGCCGCTCCACCACCGCCACGCCGCCGCGCGGCCGCGCCGCGGCCTCCCCCTCAAACGCGATCCCTCCGCCGCCGCTGCTGATGACCTCGCGCTCCCCCGCCTCCACGACGCTCAGCCGCACCCCGCCGCGGGCCGCCGCGGCGCCGCCGCCGCCGCTCATCTCGAAGTCCGGCCGCGGCGCCGCGGCCCTGTCGCCGGGCGCGATGCCGACGCGGTCCACCACGGTCACGGGGATGCCGTCGATCAGCAGCTCGCGCTCCGTGGGGGCGTCGTCGCCGCCGCCGGCCGCCGCGAGCTGGCGCAGGCCGGCGTAGAAGAGCTCCAGCGCCGACTGCAGCTGCGGCAGCAGGCCCTCCTCCGGGATAAAGCCGTACCTTTTGGGTGTGGGCGGGTGTGTGTGTTTGTGTGTGTGTGTGTGTGTGTGTGTGTTTGAAAGGGACAGTCATGATCATAGGGAGCTGGGTCGCAAAAAAGTGGGAAGCGGACCGCCGACGCCCGCGTATGGACTGGGGGCCTGCGAGGCGCGAGGCTTGCCGGCCGCTGCTTGAAGCGCTTTGCGCGGCGGACCCAGCCAGTTGGCGCGCAAGGCGACCCCTGATGCAGCGATGCGCCCCGTGGCTGCTCGGGACACCCTTCGTTCTTGCAGCCTGGCCGGGCACTGAGAGACCCTTTGAGGCGCCAACCCCCCACCCCAGGCCAGCCTAAAGCTCCCGGGCGCCCACAACATGCGAGACGCACGCAGATTATGTCGTACGCGTGACACACGCGCCTTCGCCTTCCCACCCAAAGCCCCTCGCCGCGCACCGCATGTAAACGGCCTCGTAAAAGGCCACAAGCGCCCCCTCCGCCTCCTCGTTGCTGGCCACCACCTTGGCCAGAAGCCGCTTCTCCGCCGCCGCCGTCCGCCGCCCTTGCCGCCCCCGCTCCGCCTGCAGCAGCTGCGCCACCTTGGCGCCCGCCAGCGCGTGCAGCTGCAGGGCAGCCGCCACGTGGCTCTCGCTGCCGGGCGCGGCCGCGCGCAGCATGCGGACGGCGGTCGCCAGGCGGGACACGTCGGGCTCGCGCTGAGTCAGCTCCTCCAGGGTCCACGCCAGCTCGGCGGCGCCGTAGGCGCCGGCGGCGATGAGGTCGGCGTCCTCGCCCTTGATGTCTGCGGCCGCCAGCGCCTCAAATAGCGAGTCAACGTCCAGAGTCACGTCCTCCTGCGGCCATGGTGATTCGACAAAAGACAGAGGTTTGTAATGCGGCGCGGGCCGGTGCGGGGCCGCCTGGGGCCGCGCATGTGGAGGGGGCCGGCAGGCTGGCTGCCGCAATGGGGCGGGTCCGCGGCTGTGGTCTGTCAGTGCAACCACGGCGCGGCGCCGCCCGCCCGTCCGCCAGATGAGATGGCGGCCTCCCACATGCAAGGCTGTCGTTGCAGGACGCTTCACAGCCTCCTCCCATGAGCCTGGATGGCTCTCGCATCACGCTGCAACAATCCGAATCCTTGACTTAATCCTTCAACCGCCACCGCCACGAGGGCGCCGCGCCGCGCGCGCCAGCCCCTCACCCAGAGCGCATCGAGCGCGTCCTCGTCGCCCGCCGCCGCCGCCGCGTTCAGCGCCGCGGTCCACTCCGACTCCAGCCGCTCCCGCAGCTCTGCCAGCTGGCGCCGCAGGGCCTCGGGCAGGGTGGCCTCGGCGGCGCAGCGCGCGCAGCCGCAGCCGCGGCCGGTGAGGGCGCGCACTGCGGCCTGGCGCACGTCGAGGGGCCCGAGGATCGCGCTGCGGCGCGCGAAGGGAGGGGGGGCAAGGGCACCGAAAGAGCGCGTGTGCATGCGTGTGCGCATAGGTGCGTGCGTGTGTATGCATGTGTGGGGTTTTACAATCAAGACGCTGCCCGTCACAAAGTGGGGACGAAACCAGCCACGCCCGATGCAGCAGCCTTTCTGCCACCACCAGCGGCTTCCTTCCCCTGCTGCTGCTCGCGCGCCTGCCGATCTTGTTGGTGGTCAGCGCGTCCCCGATCTCCATGTCCCGCGCCGCGTGCACAAACGCGTGGCCGCCACCGACCACCGCCACCGACGTGGTGGGAGCGCACGAGTGGCTCATCGCCGCCAGCTCGGGCCACACGCCCAAGAAGCCGACGGGCGCCTCGTGGCGCAGCTGCGAGCTCGCGGGGTCCAGGAATTCCTCAGAATAGCACGACGCCTGGAGGGTGCGCAGCAGGGCGTCTGTCTCCGGCAGCGCCGCCGGCGGCGCGTTCAGCGGCAGGCCGCCCCGCGCGGCGCGTATCGTCCAGACTTTCGGGTCCAGGTCAAAAATGTCGTTCGTGGCCGCCAGGGGCGTCGGCTCGAGGGCCGGCGCGGGCGCTACGGCGGCGGCGCCGCCGCCGATCCGCTCCGCCGCTGGCTCCACGGCTGATGCCGGGCCGGCCGCGTCCGCGCTGCCGTCGCCGTCGGCGGCGTCCGCCTCTGGGTCAGCTGGCGCGCGCGGCAGCAGGTGCAGCACCCGTGCGACGCCGGCGGGCGTGGCGGCGCCGCCCGCGAGCAGCGCGGCGTGCAGCTCCTCGACCGCGGGCGGGCGCTCAAAGGCGCCCTCCAGGAACACGAGCGGCGGCACGACGGCCAGAAGCATGCTTGAGACCAGGGTGTCGATCGCCAATATGTCCACGCTGCCGTCTGCGCGTGGGTTACGGATGGCGCCCGCAGCAGGCGCGGCGTGGGGGCGCGCAGGCTGTGTGCTGCGCGAGCCGCGCCGACGGCTTGCTCGAGGCGCCGCCGCGCCGCCCCGCATGCGCGCCCCCTTTTCCCTGTTTAATTGTGATGCGAGCAGCTCACCGCTGTGCTTCGTCAGCTCGATGGGCCCAATGAAGCGCGGCGGCTTAAAGCCGGCCTTGTAGTATGCACGGTAATAGGGCGGCAGGTCCGCTTCCCAGGGCTCAGCCACGGCACGTGCGTCCGGCTTGGCAAAGCCCTTCTTGGTGCTGCCCGTCCCTTTCGCCCTGCCGCCGCTGCCGCCGCGCCGCCTGGCAGCTGCCGCCGGCTGCTTGGCGCAGCGTATGTCGAGCGCGGCAGCGCGGCTGCCGACAGCGCCGCGGCGGGCGGCGGCAGCCAGTGGCGACGGGCGGGTTGCGGCGCCCAAGCGGGCCGACATGCAGCTAGGCTGGCCCTTCCTGTACATTACACCACTACGCTGCATCGGGCTGCGTGTAAAGGTGTGGTGTGGCTAGCGAGGCTGCACCTAAACAGGGGTGATGTGCGACGGCTGTGCGGGAATACTAAGCATGCTATTATACAAGCAGTATTGCAATCGCTACACATCGATCGTGTCTCGTACATGGCTATTGTGTGCTTCGTGAGACCGGCTGCATCGGTTGTCCCTGAGGCTCGAGGCCACTTTTGAGCGCTACAGCTGCCAAGGAGGACCCATTGGCACGAAGTTGTGAAGCCTGCCACCTCAATCATGGATGACCAGGCACTGGTACTCGCAGTGTGTTCTAGGTCATGCTTGGTGGCGAGGTGGCCGCCTAGCTAGTGACGCATTGCGTGCTACACGTGCGCATAAGGTGTTTTGGATCTGAAGGCCAACACATGTGCACATTACAGAGTCCCCACGCTTCCAATGCCCCAGAGCACCTTAGCGTGCTTCAGTGGATGTCGGTCAACATCCTTGATTGACTGGGCTTTGTTGCCTCCGCAACAAGGCGCCGCATTGCAAGTCACCCATGGTTTGCAAGTGAAGAAAGATTGAAATATTCCATGGTGAATGTCGCAGCACGGGATGCCCGTGAGGTGCTTTGTACTGTCGCTCTCACGGGTGACGTGAGAGCATAGATGTGCACACAACACAAGGACATGCAGGAGTTGATAGTGAAGATGGTAGTATTCTGCTGTGAGTCATGTGATGTTTTAGATTGCTCATGGGGATGCAGGATTGCTCATGCTCACCATCCTGGGACAGCGGCACCAGCACGTATGACGAGCAGAGCACAGCGGGGCGTGGTGGCGGTCGTCAGGCGGACGCAGCAGATGCGATGACAGGTAATTTGCACAGCTGGTGCGCCACTGTCATTCTCGTTTGCCTTACTGGATCAGGGCATCGCTCCGATCGTCATTGTTTGCAAGCACCACGATCTCGTGATCCACTCATGTTCGTGAGGGGCATTGCTTCCCGCCGGATCGTGCAACAATCGCCTTTCTTCAGCAGTCTTTCTTCCTTGCAGGCGCGGCAGGCGCAGGTGAAGCACCACTCCGCCCGTGCGCCGTCGACGCGGGTGCAGCAAAGCAGCAGCGGGGGCGCCGCGGCAACAATGGCGCCGCCAAAAGACTATACGACGCAGTCAAACTACGCTGAGGTGAAGGAGGTAGCGCGGCACTATGAGCTGGACGTTGACTTCGGCCGGAACGTGATCGAGGGGTACGCCAAGGTGCGACTTTGCTGCCCCGTCACCGTCACGGGCACAGACTTGCCCAGCACGGCAGCCGCGTGGGCAAAAATTCTTTCAGGGCATCCACATGTGCCAAAGGGCGGCTGCCGGAAGGGCGTGCTGCACCGTTCCCAGTGGTCACGTCGGCGCCATCAGCGACGACTGCTAGCGGCGCAGCACAAGGATCCCGGCCTGGGCCACAACACCGTCGCCGCCCCCCAACGATGTGCCGTGCGCCGCCCAGGTCACGGCCGAGGCGCTGGCGCCCGGCGGCCGCCTGGTGCTGGACACCCGCGGCCTGTCAGTCAGCCGAGTGGAGCTCCTGCCCGGCAGGCAGCCGCTAGACTTCAACCTGGGCCAGCCCCACAAGGCGAGCGCGCGCCTTGTCGCGCTCGTGGCTTTCCAGTGCGTTTCTGTCACTCAACCTGCCGGCCCAGAGGCTGGGTCGTGTGTTCCAACCAATCATGTAGCAATCCAGCGGCGGCAGAGTGCACGCCATGGCCCCATGGCGGCGGTGTGCATCAAATCGGGTGCAAATGTTGGCCTTTGACCAGGTCAACATGCCCACCTCGACCACCAAACCACGCCGCCCGCGCAGGCCCTGGGCACTGCCCTCGAGATCCACCTGCCTTCACAGCTGGCGGCCGGGGAACAGGTGCGCGCGCGGGCCGCAGAGGAGAGGAGCGCTCGATGGGGCAGGGGCGTAGAAGCTCCCACGCGGCGGCCGGAAGTGCCGCAACGGGCCTGCGGGTGCCTTTTCCCTGGGCATGCCAACAACGCCACGCACAAGCCGAGCAGGGCGCGCCTCCTCACCCAAATCGCCCCCCCCCCCGCCGCCGCTGGCCCCGCCATCCTCTCACTGTCTCTCTTACAGGTGGTGGTTGGTGTGCGCTACGCGACGTCCCCTGACAGCAGCGCGCTGCAGTTCCTGGCGCCCTCCATGACAGCGGGCGGCGCCCACCCCTACCTCTTCTCCCAGTGCCAAGCCATACACGCGCGCTCCATGGTGCCATGCCAGGTCAGCAC